CCAAAAGGGTTGAATTGACTGAAATTTCAAAAATCTTCTTCCTCAAAGACCCAGATATGGTAGAATCAAACACTCTTCATAGATGGAAGGGTCTTAAAGTTTATGACCCTAGGGTCTCGCGTTTACCCCCTGGGGAAGGAGGGGGGGGGGAAATTTATTATGGTTTATAATGGCAAATGGTACTTTGAATATTAGATGTTAATAACTTGATTGGAATTATAACCCTGAGCTGACAGTTTGATACTTTGAAAATTTTGAACCAGCCCTACTCAAAGGGCTATAGGGTGGGGCCCAAAGGAGTCAGTGTGCTAAAATTTCTTCATTTTCCTTGNCCAAAGGGCTATAGGGTGGGGCCCAAAGGAGACAGTGTGCTAAAATTTCTTCATTTTCCTTGTTTAGAATCGGAGGTGCTAGTTTCAAATACTTTGAGTCTTAAATCTGTATGCTAGATATTGAATAAGGTGGTTTTATTGTTTTTTGTCACTGAATAATATTTCGGTTCATGTTAAAAACCAAATCAACTCTCTGTATAAATATATCAGGTGACCATTAAGGCCCATGGGCCTCTTGTTGTGTTTAAGTTTCTCTGAAAGTGTAAGTGCTAGACCAACCGAACTTAGACCATATATGCATCTTAGGTAGTACATCTCAACCCATGCATCAAATGCTGGATGTCTATATTGAATTTATTTCACCAATATTTGCATTGATGGTCAAAGCGGGGCACAGGTGAGACATATCAATCTGAATGGCTTGTCTTAAGTCACAGCAAGGGATCAATCATTAAAATGCTTGACATGACTGACTGAGATGCCCCAGTATAGCTCAATTACAAAGAAATAGAGATTGATCTGCTACTATTTAAAATTGCCATGTGTAGGAGCTGAAAATTGAGTAGCAGTTGACAACAATCTAATTAAAGTCAGACCTCTCAAGATGTCTTTGTTACTTAAAGCTCATGGAGGCCTGTCTCAGCCAAGGTAAGGAAGAGGTGTGATTTTAATTAGATTGCAGTTGACAATTGCATTCACAGCTCTTATAATCATCCCATCAACACACATCTGCTTATACAAAATTGTCAACTCCTAAATAATGCTCTGTTTCGACACATTCTCCACTCCTTAATTCTCTAATGCTAAACAAATGTCAGATGATTTACACTTAACAACTCCTTCAGAGTTGCTAGCTCTAACACTCCTAATTTGTCAAATCCAATACAATGGTCAACTAAAGTTATCGAATATAAAGTTGTCAGCTACAGTTGTCAACTACAGAGTTATCACAAAGTTGTCAACTACAATCATCACATATAAAGTGGTCAGCTACATTTATCACATAAAATTATCAATTACAGTTATCACATAAAGTTGCCAACTACAATTATCAGCTAGTTATCATCTATACAGTTGTCAACCTATACACGTCAACCCGTACACAGTTGTCAACCTGTAAACACGTCAACCCGTACACAATTGTCAACTTGTACACGTCAACACGGATACCACTCAGGTTATGGGCAATGTTGCCAAAGAAGATATTGGCTAGAAGAAAGAGGATTAAAATAATTAAAAAAAATGAAATCCCAAGCCGAACACAACGAAACAATTCCGAGTATGCCAGGGGCCCCTCAGCAGTTGCTTGCTACGACATTCCAGTGGATAGAGCAGGACCAGTCTTTCCCCGACTACGCAGACGTGACAGTGTATGAGGGATTAAATAGGAATTTTCAAGTAATTATTTTTATCTTTAGAAAGGATTGTTAACAATTCTATCACAAAATAAAATTGTTTTCCTGATAGAAAATCACCGAAAACAACGATCATTTGTTTGAAGATCTGCATGAAGGGTCCCCGCAGCACTACCATTTTCCCCCCGGCATGACTATAGCTTTGGATTTATCATTTGTGATAGGAACCCATACTTTAAAAAAGACCAATAAAGGTTGAAAAAAGTGTTCAATGTTCTGAAAACAAAAATGGAATTGGATCAGAACATGCTCAAATTAAAAATCTCCAGTCATTAACTGTCGCCAAATTAGCAAGTGATTCTCTAACCTAGTTCCACCGCGTTTATTTATTTATCGAGTTCTTAACGACCAATAAACACAGAAGATTCCTTTAGGACCAATAAACGGTTGATACAATACGCAAAACGAATAAAAAGGTAAACGCCCACATGAAAAAAAGTGGGGCTATGGTTAGTTATATCTTAACAGACCCAACAGTTTAAAATTGCTATTAAATCTAAAACAAAATTGACAGGGAGGATACTGATGCACGCAATAACTACATTGGAATGATCTAGCGTTATGTCTGCAGTGGGACATGAACCCGTAAAGGAATCCCAATCCGGGGTATAACTAGGCAGACAACTGTTTTAATGACTGTATGCATAGGAGCCATAATACACACATACCGTTACATTTGTTTTGTTATTCAGCGCTGCGTTAATGGGCCGTAAAGATAATATCAGTCGACCTCAACACCTTCCGAGAGTAGGCATGTCAAGTCATTTTTTATTTTGAAAAATAAAATACCTGGTGAGCTATTCAGGCCCTGTGCCTCTTGTTGAAATAACATTCTCTCAATTACGAATAAAAGCATTCAATATTAAAGTTTACAGGAGTAGTTTGCATATGACGTGAATTACAGCACGTGTAACGAAGATTTCTTCATTCACCCCTGAAATTTCATAATGAACTATTCCAACCATTGAATTGGAAAAATTAAAATGTGTCTTCAGTTATCACTTATACAGTTGTCAGCTACAGTTAACACGATAGAGCTGTCATCTATAGTTATCACCTATACATCTGTCAGCTAGTTATCACATAAACAGTTGTCAGCTAGTTATTACCTATATAGTTGTCAGCTAGTTATCACCTACCTAGTTATCACCTATATGATAACACGAAGACAGTTGTCAAACTGTCCACACGTCAAAAACAAACACAGTTGTCCACACGACTACACGAAGACAGTTGTCAACCTGTTTACACGAACACAGTTGGCAACCTGTCAACACGAACGAAGTTGTCAACCTGTCAACACGAAGACAGTTATCAACCTGTCCACACGTCAACACAAACACAGTTGTCTACACGAACACAGTTTTCAACCTGTCCACACGTCTACACGAACACAGTTGTCAACCTGTCCACACGAACACAGTTGTCAACCTGTCAACACGAAAACAGTTGTCACACGTCTACACAAACACAGTTGTCCACACATCAACAAGACAGTTGTCAATCTGTCCACACGTCTACACTAACAAAGTTGTCAACCTGTCCACATGAAAACAGTTGTCAACCTGTCCACACGACTACACGACCACAGTTGTCAACCTGTCTATACGAACACAGTTGGCAACCTGTCAACACGAACGAAGTTGTCAACCTGTCAACACGAAGACAGTTATCAACCTGTCCACACGTCTACACTAACAAAGTTGTCAACCTGTCCACATGAAAACAGTTATCAACCTGTCCACACGTCAACACAAACACAGTTGTCCACACGTCTGCACGAACACAGTTGTCAATCTGTCCACACGACTAGACGGTCATAGTTGTCCACACGTCGACACGAACAAAG